ATTAAATCATTTGACTGCTGAATAAGCACCCTGCACGTAATCTCTAAAGATACCTTGTGAAGCATGAAGGAAATGCACATCATGTATGAGATGATCACTAGCAATGACCGTATGCAAATGCTTCTCTTTGCTAACTTTAAGAAGAATAGTAAAAGTTGTGACTCATGGAGTTGTTCAATGCGCTGGCATAATTTTTTTCTTATTGAGGGAAATGTGATTCTCCACTCAATCGACATGGACAATAACAATATCATGTTTGTTGACTTCAGCCTTGGTTTTTCCAATGTAACTAGATTGTTGACTAGTAACAAAACTGTATCTCAGGTACACTTTCAGCTGAGAATAAATCTCTTGAAGTAGATGAGTAACCGCTCCATTAGTCTTTTGACGAGAAATTTTTATATCACTAGACAAAACGTCGTTGTTAGTATGGGTCTTCTCTTTAATCACACCTAGACTCAAACACCCACACCTTTTCAAGATATTTTATCAAAACCTCGATAATGAGTTTTCTACCATAAGAACAAAACTTGTGATATTAAAAATAATCATCGGTTATTTTCTAAGGCACGATCTAGAAAATGAACTGTCTTTCACAAAAGTATTCTGCTAATTCTTTTATCATAAAATCAGAATTCGTATCTGAATATACTTCACCATACCACAATTGTGCTTTTATTTTCAGAAATATGTACTCAAATGGATTGTCCACGATCAGCATATCGTTGTTCTAACCAACAGTATGCTGCAATGTTATCTGGCTCTCGTGCCCTTAGATGCTTTGGCCCTCTTGCTCCGCATTTACATTGCAAATAGCAGAAGAATCTTTCCACTTCTCGTCATCAATAGTATCGGGAATGTGGTCAACATTATTTCACACTACATTTGTCTTTATCATATTCGAATGGGCATCTATGCAGCACCAGTATCAATCAGTTTAGCATATGCTGCCATTGTACTGAGTGCCATCGTCTACATTCGCGGGTCATCTCTCTATAAGGAAACATGGCATCCTATAACTCGTGCCTGCCTTCAAGAATGGAATGTTTACCTGAAGTTGGCTCTTCCAGGTCTTGTGTCAGTTATGTAAGATCTCTTTCACAATAACTAGACTGATGAGGAAATCTCTCATCGTGTTCTAAAAGTTTTGAGCTCACATACAGGGCATATATAGAGTGAATTGCAAGAATAGTCCAATCCTAAAAAGGAATTTGTGTGGATGCACCGTCAGAAGTAAATTAGGATGCTTTGATTTTGTTATAGTGCTATGGCATCTACTTCTCGAAAAAAACATTGCATGAACATATTATGACCTGAAATTTTGCTTGCAATAAGGTCTAGTGGTTATAATAATACTTGGGAAGTCTCAGCTGAAATGACTGTTTCGCTTACGAAATATTGAAATCTTAAAACATCTTTTTTGACAAAGTGGACGCTTTCTAACAGCTGAGTATTTTTAAAGAGAAAACGCTTGTTAGAGATGAGACTTTCAGATTATTCTTGCGGCTACTATACCTACTTCTAAGCAAAATTTAGTTTAGAATTTACTCGCAGGTTTCTCCAAAGGCATGACCATAATGCGACAAAACGATCAAATGATCATAAATGGTAACAGATAACACATGCCCAAAAATTCCTTTATAGAGCTAGGCTACTTTCATGATCTCTTATATATGTGTTGAACATGATCTCAAAAGCAATGGACACCTCGAGCTCTTTCTTTGTAAGTTAAAAACAGATGATACGAGGCGGTGTGATTTATCCGAAGAAACTGAACAGATTCGTTCATGCATGGTAACACAAAGAATGTCCTTGCTTGCACCTTCGTCGATGGTAAAAGTCATAAATACTGGAATTTTTCTTGAAGCGGAACGATGCCCATCTATATTTGCTGTTTGTAGCAGTGAAACTTTATGGTATTTTTTGATTATAGAGAGCTTCTACCTATTGTCCAGAAGTTTCGAATCGAAAATAAGGGCGAATGAAAAAGAGAGTGATCAATTGCATATCCGTCTCAACAGTATAACCGGTACGAATCTACTTTCTTCACAACTTCACACTCATTATCACACATGGTAAGGCTGATTAACAGCGAAAGTGAGCAGCAATGAACAAGATCCAACACCCGGTGCGAAACAGTTAAAGTACCTTCTGTAGCGTCAGAGTACCTCATTTTCTCTTGAGGATTAGATAACATTTGTCTGGGACACGACGATTGTGATGATAAAAGTAAAGCAGTTTTAATTGTCACTGACAGAATTTCAAATGTTTTTCGGTTCATCTCTGGTATCTAAATTTAGGCGCCTTACATAGCTGAGAAACAAGACTAAACCGGATTTTGTATTTCAGTAATGATCTCTCTATCTTTAAGAGTACTGTTGTGACTGTAGCACATAAATATCTACGAATTGAGTTCTTTTCGTTTTATAGGATTGAATACTGGTCCTTTGAATTTGGTAACTTTTTTGCAGCTGGTGTCAATGCTCGTTCGCTTTCAGCACAATCGATCGTTCAGCAAACAGTTTGGTTTTTATCTTTAATTATGATGTCAGTCGGTGATGCAGCTAACATTCTCATTGGCAATATATCGGCGCTAACAAACCGAAAGAAGCGACCAATGCCAAAAATGTCACTTACACATTGGGTATAGGTTTATCAGTTATCAATATGATTTTGCTTATCCTCACTCATTACTGGATACCATATATCTTCAACGCACCCATGAATGTTCTTTCACTTGCTCGCAACACTCTGTTATTGACTACTTTTTACGTCTTCTTGGAAGGATTGAATAATGTTCAAATTGGCATAGTGAAAGCATGGTAATTATTTAGCGGTTTTGTTCCTAAATTACGAGTATCCGCAATAGTTCTTATTTTCTATTTGACGTCAGATCAAAAACAGAATCGAAACATCATCTCATCGTATAAAAACTGTCATTTATATCAATTGAGCTATCGTAGTGTATCTGCTCCTATTTGAAGTGAGTTATTCAAATTAAACTACGAGAGTCGATAAAACACAAACGACCCAAATTTGCAGAGTCAGATGTTTTGTTTTTATAAAAAGATCATTAGAAAGAAGAATTCCGAACAGAAATTTAAGAAACAACATAACTGTTCCGAAAGATTTCTTCCAGACTCAATCAAAAGAGAAAACAATTTTAATGGAAAATTTGAATGATATGAAAGAATAGCTTGAATAGGAAGAGAACAATTCAAAGCTCGATACTCCATCTTAAGTATCAGAATACCCAGGTCCATAATTATTACGACCATAAACGACCATATACGAGCGCTTATATTACCAGAAAAGAGCGTCAACGGTAAAAATTACGATCGTAAATGACCTGTAAATTACTAGTTTGGTAACCAAAGTATTACGGTCATATTCTTATGTACACGATAGAATAAATCGAGGTTAATGGCCGTACATCGTCGTGTAATGAGTTGATTTATGAAATTTTTATATCATCTATTTTGTAGTCATTTTGGACAGAGTCAGCTTCTGATCTGTTCGGAAAAGTATAACCTTAAGATTGTGCTCCTATTATACGATGAGGTTTTATTCTGTGGTGACGGATACATTAATTGTCGTTTTCTTGATATTGGTCAGTTTAAAGACATAAATATTCAATACGACAATCTGTCATGATTTGTATCAAAAACGAGGTTATCGAGTTCTTACCATCTCGATTTGATTGTTTCACTAATTAGTACCGTCGATTCCAGTGAGAATTACTTATTCACAAAAGTTTCTTTTCTACAGCATAACATTAAGAATACATGTTTTAGCGGAATGCAGAAGTATGGAACAATATTTTCATTAGTCGGTTTTTACGTAGTGGGACTTCCATTGGCTTACATTCTAATGTTTCATGTTCATATGGATATTTATGGTTACTGGTTTGGAATGATTACTGCTATGGGACTGATTGATGTGATGTTATTCGTACTTATATGGCGATTTGACTTAGATGCCATTACGAAAACTGCATTGGGATATATTCATGTCGACACGTCAGCAAAATCCTCACAGAATTATTTCTCACTCGATACTTCATCATCAGATCTGAAAACTGATGAACTCCAGCAGTTAGTGCCATTCAAATACAAAACAGATAATGATATAAGAGCAGTTCAAGATATTGAAGCACAAACTACTGAAGATCAGAAAAAAACAGAATCTGCTGCTCGTGAATCAAAAAAATCGTGGTTCAAGTTACTTTGGCCAAAAATAATTGTACTATTTCTTTTCATTTGTTTATTTATTATGAGTGTCATTTTTTCTGTGAAGTACTAGGGGGAAACGGTATACTTTTGTACTTGAAGTTATTTTTCGCTACTTCCAACTGCTTTAAGCTACTTTAAGCAAATTTAAACTGCCTCAAGATACTTCGAATACTTTGAAGTACTTTCATTTCTCTCTATCGGTACCTATTCATAAGCGTGCGTGTGGGTATGGGTGTAAGTGCGTGTAGGAGTTGGTGTGAGTGGGTGGGTACGGGTGTCTTGGTGTGACTGTGGCTGTGAATTATAAAATGAGTCACAGCTATGGTGACAGCGACAGCGGCAGCCACAGCCACACCCAGCAGATCAATAGTAATTGAGCGAACTCGATCATCAAATGTTTTCAATTTGTGCATATTTGTTTTTTTTTGAAAAATTTGACGTTTGTCTACTTCATCAATTATGACACAGAGAGAATTAATATCTAATCCAACCTGTGTCAGATAGTAAATCAAAATTTTATTTTGAAAGAATTTTTATTTTAATTTTTTCTTTATTCTTGCTTTTCTTTTTTTGCTTTTGTTGATGATACACATTCGTTTACGATCAATGTGCATTTTTGAAACATTAGAATGCGATTCACTTGAGGGTGTGGGTGTGGATCTTCTATTCTTCCTCACTCACACTCACATTCAACCACACCTATCAGGCCGTCAACAACAAGCTATTGTTCATTCATTTCTTGAGCAATTTGATTATGGTTTATCAACTATGGAACGTGGATGTTCATTTCATCCAACAGCTGCTAGTTATTGCATGCTTGGTAAATTACGTATTAAAGCTAAACAATTTGATGAAGCACGAAATGCATTTGAAAAATGCATACAAGCTTGCATAAATAGTGTTACAGATCAAACAACTGAACTTCATGGTGCTTATTTAGATTTAATTAAATGTCTTATACAACTTAAACGTTTTCCACAAGCTATAGAACGATTAACTACATTTATAAAACCTCGGCAACCAAATCAAAATGCTGAAGCTTACTTACAACGTGATATTGCAAAAATAAGAATATTTACTAAATATACTGCTCATGAATTAATAAAATTATCATAAAATAGATGACAATTATTAAATATTAATAAAGCACTTGTAATTGAACCAGATAGTGCTGAAGCATGTCTTCCACAAGCTACTTGGTAAGTATCAAAACCATCTGACATTTGTTGTTTTCTTCAGAATGTACTTGACACTAGGGGTTACTAAGAGTGAAGTAGTACGTTTTACTTTCCAATAAGTATCAATGTATATGCTCATGCGATTCAAATCAAATAAAAAAACGTTGGTATACCGTTCGCTATAATATGCGCCATACCAGTAGTATTCCTCGGTATTCAGAAAAAATCAGCGGTAGTTTGATATTTAAATGGTCGACTATCTGTTTACCACCATATTACCGTGGTATACCGATAGCTGTTCTCTGACTGGCATATGGACTCATGAGTTCTTTAGGAAAGGAAATAAATTAGTGTCAGAAGAAAGATTCTTTTTTTGCATATAGTTATTGCTCTCTCTCTCTCTCTACTATTTTTATAAGTTTTTAATCTTTCATATGGAGATCAATCTTTACATTCTGCTACTTTGATGTTTAGAATTCATTTAATCTATTCGTTTAATATTTTCTAGGTATACTCGTTGTGAATATTATTCTAAAGATGTATTAAATTGTAATGAAGCTATTTGTTTAAGTCTAAATCTTGTTTGTGCTTATCTATATTGTAGTTGTTTAAAATATTCTTTTCGTTTTTTATGATCATACTATTAAAGATTTATCAATAACATTACAAATTGATCCATCTTGTTCACAGTTTCAAAGAAAACGAGATAAACAAAAAAAAAATACTGAGTCCTTTAATAGTATTTGTCATTGTTGTGTATAATCATAAGAAAAAACTAAAAAGTTAAGCAAGTTTTTATTTCAAAAAATCAATCAAATTCATTTTGTGTTCAGAATCTATTAATCACAATGTTAAGTGATCAAGAGAATACTTGAACACTGAAAGTTTCTTTCACATCAATATATCTTTTCTTTTCTTTATCTAATTGAGCAAACAAAAAAAGAATTACCTGGAAAAGAATAACTTCTTTTTTCAAACATCTATCTCAAATGTATTTGAGAAAGTTCAGTGTTCATTCGACTTTTTATTAAAGAACTAAATCGATCATAAAAGTTGTTCTATCAAAAAAGAAACGATGAAACTATTTATCTTTAAAAAGACCTATAGATTAAAAAATCTCTTGAAATATTCTATTCCATGTAATAAACAAAGCAAAAACTATTTTTAATTCAAACTCTCGTGTATTTTAGGAATTTATATTGTTTCATTGTCTTGCTTTCTTTATTTAAGTTCGACCAAATGTACATAGAAATACAATGATTTCATATAAGAAAATGAATTAATAATATACATAATTATTTGTTTTTGTTTAACATGTAGTTATTTTTGAGCAAGATCTATGTCAACTGATTGAAAAATTTTAAAAAGTTTACTTTTCTCGATATTTATGCCGAAATTTATTATGAAAAAGTTGAACCTTATCATTTAATGGTTTAAGTTCACTTTCCTAATAATCGAATGGATATTGAAATATCATATATATTAAAAACAATTATTATAGCTCAGTACTCGTTTTGCTCTGCTTGTTTTTTTTTGATGTTCTAAACTGTAAAATACTTCTATTCAATAACGAAATATTCATATTATTCTTCAGACAATATTTGATTACTTTTTGAAAGATTCGTCATAAACAAAAGTGAGATATGCAAAAAATTTCTAAGTAATATATGAAACATATAACGACGTTTATGTTGACAGAAATCAATCTCTACTGTAAGTTTTATTACTAATTATCAAACAAATAGGGCGTGAATGTAGACTTCTCTTTGTCGTCACTCATATTCATACCCTACATCAACATCAATGTAATAAAAATTGTCAAAGAAACGAAAATTAACCGAGCCATACGCCTTACAACAACAGTCATATATTTCACACACTAATCGAATATTCAATGAACCATGCGACACAGAACTAATATCGTTTGAATGTGTACATCGTCAAAAGAGATACATTACGATTGATGAATAGTTCACATGGAGTAGATGCTTTTATACGGCTTTATATTATTTATTCATGAAATGATAAGATTTCATCTCATGATATAGACGCTCAAGTAACATATTCAATGAACCATGCGATACAAAACTTATATCATTTTGATGAGTAACATCGTCAAAAGAAACATATTATCAATTAACAAATGGTCCATATTGAGTAAATTTTTTATACGACCTTACATTGTTGTCATCGTTCTTCTTCTAACTTTCTTCGTTAATTATTTTCAAATTATTTCACGCACATCATCGAATAATCAACAATCATTTGATTGTACACAACTATGTCCTTATAGAAGTAACCTAACACATACTCATCTCGAATTTGATTCGAAATATTTCGTTCGACATTACTCTGAGTTTATTTGTCAAGAGAATTTTCGGAACCTAGCCGATTGGGTCTACGGTTGGTCCGATCAGTCCCACGAATATGTTCAGGTGTCAACTACTGATGGACAGCATATTGCTCCTTGCTTACCTCACGGCAGTATAATCTATGTTTGTATTTGGTCTATCGACACGTTTTTTACCAAAGTTTATCCGCATTTAATCAATGATTTTGTTTTAATTACGGGTGGAGGTGATTTATCCTCACCAAATATGGCTTATTTAGAGCGAACTGATTCAAAAATTATTCATTGGTTTGGGCAAAATGGAATAATTGATGCCTCGATAAGCAAGAAATTCACACATATTCCCATCGGTTAGACTTAGATGACTACTCAATGATGATTTTCTTCTATGGGTAGAAAACGAATATAAACGGAGCACGCTCTGAAAGATAGCAAGGTTTTTAATATAAATTATTTTCTTTCTTCACACATTACGAAGCATTAGTTGTCAGAAAAATTCACTTGTTTCACTCCTAAACTTCAAGTAATTGAAAACAGTACATTTTCGAAAAATATCCATTAAAAAAAAATTGTTTTTGGATGTGAGTATGGATGAGATTCTTAGTTCCGTCCACATCAACATCTAAACTCTATTGTTGTCTAGCAGTGCTTAGTATGAATTCAGCATAGATTTTTTTTTTTTTTTTGAAATTTTAACGATAGGAATTCACTGTCACACAATGGTCGAAGCGATTACAAGTATTTATAAGCAGCAAAACAATCATGCATTGCCTTCAATTTATGGTGATAATGATGAACCACCATATTATATTCAACCAATTGATATGACTCGACGAGCGTTGAATCAAAAATATGATCTTAAGAGAAAGAATCTTTTATTGATTAATTTTAATCAACATACTGATGGAAGAGGATTTCGTCAACAGATTTGGACACATATGTGTTCGAAAAAGAATCGAGCTCCATTTACAACATGTTTATATAAGTCACCTAGTTTCGATATGTCTTATATTCCGAATATCTATGCACGAAATCGTAAATATTTATTTTGGTTATCACCACGTGGAAATGGAATTGATTGTTATCGCACATGGGAAGCATTGTATCTTGATGCAATACCGATTGTTTGGAACTCATCATTGAATATTCTCTATGAACATTTGCCTGTTGTAATTATTCAAAATTATACAGACATCAACGAAACATTTTTACGCGAGAAACTACATGAAATATCAATGAAGAAATATTTTCAAATGAATCAAATGTATCGATTCGAAAAATTACGAAATGCATATTGGCGCCGATTGATTTTGAGTAAATCAAGACATTCAGTGAAAAATATCAATATACGAATAAATCAATGTTGGCGAGCTAGAATCTCAAGGAAGTCCTTTCTATCCTCGTTGTTTTCATAAGAAAGAGAAACTGATAAATTATATGAAAGTGTGTTCGCGTAAAGTAATAGAAAACATGTCATTGAATTCTGTCCTCATCTCGAATCATCTCACATCGTTTGTACTATTTTCATTTGACCCAAATAAACGAACAACAAAGATAAATATTATCATACTGAGACAATCGTATTAATAATATCAAAACTTTACTAGTATAAATTGTACAGAAAGTTTCAACTTTTAATGAATTGACTTACTCCTTGGAACATTCATATTATTAAGACGGAGATGAAATTTCAATACACTAAGTATTTTTGAATGCAATCACGTGTATCAACTTGAATGAGTATCGGTGTAAACTTCAAGATAAAACCAATTAATTCATGTCACAAAATCTCACCAAAAAACTGAAAAAGACTAATTTTTCACAGATTCAGATTGCCAGTGATTTGTCTAAGTCCTTGCCAGTTCGCATATGCATTTTATCTTATTGCATCTGTCTAATTTGTCTGTTTGTTTCTTTTTTTTTCCTATCAATATTGTGACAATAATCGAAAACCATTAAGTGATAGTCTTTACTCGACAGAAATGTTTTATTCTTATCTGCATAACAAAATATGTAAAAGTAGAATTATAACAGAAAAATCTTCTCTCGGAGAAAGTTGTTTAGTTGATGATAGTAGAGAAAAACGTTCGTAACCCACTATAAGATGATATTCACTAAGAAGAGAACAATTTTAAACATGAATCCTTCGGCGGAAGTTCAATTTTAGATAATAATAACATGCAGAAAAATAAGAAAATGAAAACTATTCGATGAATCTAATACACTCAAGTATTGTTTTAGAATCATGATCAAGAAGATGGTGTGGGTGTGAAGATGACAGTGGGTGTCGAAATAGATTCGATCTCTAACCACACTCACCCACAAAATTGTTGCAATTTCTCGCGATCTTTATGTTAATCATACGCTTCAGTCAGTGCATCCTAGAACATGTCACTCTTACACTCAGAGGACTATTTCACCGCGATACTTCCGTCCAATGGAACTGTATTTGATAGAATACATTTCGATGAATACACAACACAAGTGGAACGCTGATCTCTTGCAGTATTAAGCAACAGAAGTCTTGCATACTGTCATAACTTTAGAATCTACTATATAAGACACCAATATAAGTGTTATTGTCCATT